ATGGGAGGGATTGGCAAGATGTAGCCGGTCAGGCTACTGGGAGCAGACCCCAAAATACAGCCTCAGGCTGAGTGTTTTCTCCAAAAGAATGACCTTGGGAGGACCCACAATGATTCTGTTCATTAAGCCACACAGAACGAGGACTTTTATAAAAGCAATACCCTTCATTCATGTATTATTTACTTGGTCAATCACAAACACTTTTGCAGCTATGTACCAGGTACCCTGCAAGGCACTGGGGGTGACTGATAATCACACCTCACTCTATCCCCAAATGACATTATCTAGTGTGATCTTCTACCTTTTTCATTGAATTAAGCTTTCCATTCATTCATTCACTTGTGAGCAGTTGTTGACTGAATGACTATTATACATGACAGGCTCGGGCCCAAAAGCTGAGGAGACAGCAGTGAACAAAAGTGGGTGCCGTCTCTTCAGTCACTGTTTACAGCCCAGGGGGAGAGACAGACGTTAATCAGATAATCACACCAATAAATGTAGCAATACGCAACTATGATGCATATAATAGAAAAATATAACTGCAATAAGAACAGGCCTAAATGAGTTTGATCGATTCTAAAATGGGGATTTGGTATGCATTAAAATTATTTTAAATGTTTTCACCTTTAACCCAGTACTTCCACTTTTAGGAAGTTATCCTAAGGCAACATTCAGAAAATTGGGTCCACTGCATGATTGTTTATAAAAGCAAAACAGCAAAAATGAAACAGGAAACCATTCAAATGTCTAGTAATAAGGAGCTGGTTAAACAAATTATTATATTAAAACACTAGAATATTCTTCAGCTATTAAAAATGAAAATGTAGAGCCCCATTATTTTATTAGGAACATATTTGTTGTATATTTTGCAAGTTATAGAAAAGTATATATAGTAAATCAGCCCTCCTTAATTCACTTGTTGGCACCTTAGTCCTTCCTAATGCTCACGCCAAAACCCTGCAAATCATCTTTAATCATCACCCTTTCTCTTGCATCCAGATCCAATCCTTTAGGAAACCCTCTTAGCCTTAGTGTCAAAATATATTTCCCAAATTCAACTGCAACCACTCTGGTCCAATCTGCTACCACCTACCACCTGGATTTACTGCAGTAGTGCCTAACTTGTCACCACAGAAGCCAGAGATGTCCTTTTACAACATACGTCAGATCGTGTCACTCTGCTGCTCAAAACCCTACAGAGACTTCCCATCTCACACAGAGTGCAAGTCTACAAGGCGTGCTGCATCCCCACTTCCTCGGCTACTCTCTGATCTCGCCTTCTAGCCATCTCCCCATCACTCACTCTGCTGCAGCCTGGCTGGCTTCCTTGCCATGTCTTAAGCACACCAGGCCCGTTCCCATAGGGACTTTTATATTCACTCTGCCTGGAACGCTCATCGCACAGACACCTGCATCTCCTTCAAGTCTTTGCTCAGATGCCTCATCTTCAGTGAAGCCAACCCGACCTACCATGTTTACAATTGCAGTCCCCTCTCCAGTTGTCCTGGTCCCCCTCAACCTGCTTTACTTTTTCCTTTTTTCCATAGCATTTCCCACCTGATAAGATACTAAAGAATGTCCTTATTAACTATAGCTATTTTTTATTGTGCATTTTCTCAAACTAGGATGCACTTTTCCTGAGGAACAGAAATCTTTGTTTTGTTTAATGATGTATCCCAAATGCCTAGAATACATACATACACACATATGTACATACATACATACATACATACACACATGGAAAGGGTCTGAACAGATACAAAATAACCCATTACTGATGGATATTTCTAGGTAGAAGAATAATGGGTAAACATTTTTCTTTTTGTCCCTCTGTTTTCTAATTTTTCTATTGTAAATTTGAATTACTTGAATAATCAACTTTTTAATGAAAAAATAGGTTTACTTCTGAGGGTAATGGCAGTTTTAATCCATTTTTTCTCAGTCTACACTTTCAACTGTTCACCTCCAGAAGAGAATTGGTAAGATGGTAAAAATGTGGGAAAGGTACCCATTTACATCACTGTGAAGCCATTGTGAAGATCCCCTGCCCAGACAGTGGGAGAAATTCTGTCCTGATTTGAGTTCCCCTAGAAGCAGACGCTGTAAGGAGTTTATTCGAGAGCTAGCAGGGTGGGGAGAGTGAGGCAGAGAAGAGAAGGAAGGCAACAAAGGGAGGGCTGTCAAGCCATCACTACCACGGGCAACGGGGCTCAACCCCAAGACTGAACTCTGAGACACAGGGTAGTGCGCCTCAGCTACCCACTGGAGGGGTGATGAAGCTGGGGTGTTTATCCTCCTACAGTGGTTGAGGGCTTTTTCAGGGAGCATTAACTCTCTGGTACTTCCAGCTTGTCCCATGTGTTCCCATAGCCAGAAAGGAAAAAAATATATATATCCCTCAAGTGGCAGGTGTGAGCAGTAAGCAGAGTTCTCCAAGAAGAGGTGAAATCCAAGAGGACATGAGTGGGCACTGTGAGGGTCTGCAGTGATTGCTCAGTTAGGCCCTGGTTTTGCTCTCTGGGAGGACCTCCCTTGCTGCTCACTGTGGCTCCTGGCTATGCCCCCTGGGAAGTTTTGTGGGGGTTTTTATCCATTCACCTTCATGGCCACATCTGAAGTGATAATGAGGAGAGTGCCTCTTTGGCAATCTGTGCAGATACTGTTGCCCCATTTTTGCCTGTCTATGTTTGGGTACCTAAGAACTGTTTTAAGGCTTGATCAACCACAGTTTTTGTAGTCTGGGTTCAAGAACTCTTTGGTAAGTCCTTCAAAAACGTAGTAAGCTCCTAAAAATACTTGTTTGCAGTCATTTCTATGTGCCAGTATGCACACATAGGGTTCTTTACTGGACGTAATTCTCAAGCTTGATTGACTTCTTGCATCGTAAACTCGATGCCTCTTCTTCAACTTAATGGCAACCATCTTGAAGCCGACTGGGAAAAAAAAAAAAAAGGCCTGAGTGTGAAGAAAGCACCCTTAAACTGATCTTTGCTGCAATGGTGAAACTACCTGTCTAATGAGAATTCTTAATGGGCTTTTGTTGCCCAAAGCCTTTTTTCCATGTTTTATCACTCATTCTTTGGGGTTCAAAACAGAAGGCTCCAGATTTCTGGACTCATTGTATTCCTTTTTGTTTCTGCCCTTGAACCAGCCAGTTCTTGCCTGAGCTTCACTCTTCCTTGTACTGACTTACTAAGCGAAGCCAATAAGAACTAACATGCACTAACTTTGGGGTTTCCAACCTCTTCTCCTAGAACCACAGGCTCAATACACACTTTGCTCACTAAGTCATCGAGGACAACAATTTTATTAAGTAATTTGCTATTGTATAACATGGGTCTTCATCTTTTCAGCTTCCAGTACCAACTGTCCTGTCTTCTTTTGCAGTGTTACATACTTTAGGGCTTATCGTTAATCATAGGATCCCAATGCAAGGGAGTACATTTTGTATTAATAATGATAATACTAGCCACTGAACAAATAAACCTAAGAATTTCAATGGCTTAAGACAATAAAAGTTCAGTTCTCATTTATGAAAGAGAGCCCGGTGGTGACCAGGACAATGGGATGCCCTCCTCCATGAAGTCATTCAAGGATCTAGGATGTCAAAAGTGATGCCCCCTTCAACATCTGGTTTCCAAGGTTGCCCCAGGGGTCATGCCCATTCCAGCCAGTCAGAAGATGAGAAGAGCATGGATAAGCTCTAATGGGAGGTTTCTGAGTCCCATAAAATGTCCTCTCACATTTCACTTTCTAGAACTCAGTCACATGACTCCTTCTAGGTGCAAGAGGGGTAGGGTGGGGTATAGTTCCTGGTTAGGCAGTCACGGTGCTATGCTATGTGAAGGGAGAGAACCCATTTTTTAGTGGACAGTTAGCTGGTCTCCCACAATTTAAACAGAAAAATTATAAACAATGTGAACTTTCAACTCTCTCCTCTGCCTTCCAAGCCCTTTCTCTAATTATTTGTTTGGACTCACTGAAATGGGGGATTTGTCAGGATGCTGTCCTTGGGCTGAAGATGGGGGATCTTTCTCACCTGATTCATTTGGGAAGGAAGCAAAGAAAGAACAGGCAGGTATCTTTACATAACTACTTCCTTCCTCGTTTTGGTAAAAATACTTCTCAGGCTGAGCCATTACTGACTACTGGCTTTTAGGATTCTTTTTTTTTTTTTTTTAACAAAGAAATTGAAAAGCTGAACCACTCTGCTCTTTTCTTCCCTGATTAAGAGTAGGCAGAGAGAAGAATGGATGGAAGGAAGTAGGAACCTGAACAACTGGGTATGCAGTGGGACACTTTCCATTAATTACTCTTCACTTCAATAACAATACATGGGAGGTGGGCAGTTTGCTCCAGTGAATGACCCACCATAGGATAAGTGTTGCCTGATACAGAAACGGGTTGAAACAGCCACTCCGGAAGCCAGTAAAACTAATCCTATGGATGAAGCCATCTTTGTTAAAACACAAATTTAATCAAACCTGGAATTCTCCAGCAGCAGATTCAATACCAACCACAGGCTTCTCAAATTTATTCTGTCACAAAAGCCCCAGGCACTCTCAGTCTAGAGTGAACCCGAGCAAATGAATTTTCTTGCGTGCAGAATGTGGACTTATGCGATTTAGGACGACCAGTGTCATACACGCACAGCTGACTATCTACTCAGACCAAGTGACCTTAATCAAATCAATCCACAGAGATGTGGTTCTGGTTTTCACAAAAGCGAGAGGGCTGCTCACCATTCAAAATAAGTCTTTCCCTACTGTAAGTTTTTTTTTTATTAAGACCTGACTTATGGTACATTTAGAACACAATGCAGTTCTCACTCAACTTGTCAAGGCTACAGCAACTATGTAAAGTGAGGTACCCTGTAATAATGTAAGGCCCTCAGCAACTCCCTGGGTTCCAGGGCTGTAGGCAGCCCAGCTGTCACTGCCACAAACAGGTGGTGTAAAACAATAGCTCCGCTGAGCTAGCTCAATTTCCAAACCCTCTAGCCGCCAAAGTATCCAGCCGGAGTGCCGGCGAGCAGCACAAGTCACCCGTCTGCCACCAGTCCTCGCCAGCGCCCACAGCCATGGAGCCCTGGCCGCTCCCCTTGCTCCTTGCTCTCTGCTCAGGTAAGAGTCGGGGTGGGGGGCTGTCCTCTGAGGCTGAAGCAAGAGAAGCCCCCAGATCAGTCTTGCTTTCTGATGGGAACACAGACTGGCAGGCTTCTGCAGCCCGAAACTGCTGGCTCAGTTTCTCATGGATGTTGGCTTGATTGGGTTTGTGGATAAAGTTTAGTTTGTGTTATCAAATGAAAATAGGAGCTGCCTGGTGAAAGGCTATGAAGTGAACACGCGAGTTTCTCCCTCCATCAGTGCCTGGCATCTGACTCACCCATACGCTCAGAGTCCGGACCACTTCTATTATCCTGGAGCTGCCTTTGTGTTTGTACATTTATAGGGACTAAGAGTGGTGACTTATAATCGCAAGCAATATGTTTAACAAGTCCTTTTATTGCTCCTGGAGGATTCTGATAATGAAGAGTGTTGATTGACAGGTCCATGTGCTGGAGAGAGAAAAATATTCATAATTGTAAATAAATTCTCTCCACCGAGATGAAATATTTTGTAACTTTTTAAACTTCTGAACTTCAGAAAAAGTTCATAGGAATGCATTCTTGCCTATTTTTTCTTTGAACGACATTACTATATGTAGGTTTGGGTTTGAATTGAAACCATAAAACCTTGCACAGCCCTTGACCTGCATTCAACTCTGGAATGTGTCACAACACAGCAGCTGAAACACTATCCTGAAGCCCAAACTTCCGGTAGAGGGAAATAGAAGTTTGCCGCTCGCTTCTTATAAAAGTGGTGATATCATCTCAACCGAGAAACAAGGTGGCTGACATTCTGTGATTTCTCTTCTCTAATATTGCTCTGACAAACACAGGCCTTCTGGGTAAATGAAGTAAAGAGCTTTATTATTAATGTTTTTCAATAGCAGAGTTGAAGGAAATAGCCTAAACTCTAATAAATTCAGATAAATTATATCCTGTGGGATTTGGACCTAATCCAACAACCAAAGCTGGCCTGGTAATGATGGTGGTGGTGTTAGTGTGTGTGTGTGTGTGTGTGTGTGTGTGTGTGTGTGTGTGTTGGCAAACACTACACTCATTGAAAATTCCTGTGATATGCTCACATATGAAAATCCTTAAGAGATCTCTCAGGACACTAAAGACTTCCAAAAATGCTTGTTTAACTATTTTGAGAAGTATTTAAATCATATCTAGAGTTTGCTAGTATCAATTCACATGGATAATTCACAGAAATTTAGAGCTGGATGAGGCAGTCCAACACCTTCAAATTTTTATTGTAGGGAAAGTAAGGCTGAAAGACATGAACTGACCTGCCCAAAGTCACGTAATTTATAAATTTTGGAATGTGTTTAGCTGGGGACTCCATGTCTTATGTGCACAGTCAGAAAACACAGCCTGAAGTTACCTAAGGTAGCAAAATAACACAGCACCAAGTTGAGATAAGAATTACCCAAAGAACAGGCTGGCTGAGTGGCGTGTTGGTTAAGAGCTGGCTTGGGACACCAGAGAGCCCTGGTTCGGATCCCACATATGAGGGCCAGTGACACTGCCCTCTACAGCTAAGATGCTGAACAACAGCTCAACCTGGAGCTGGGCTGCCATGAGTCGCCTGCGACTGCGTAGGCTGAAGCCCCTGCTGCAGTGGGTTGCCATGGGCTACCGTGTGTAGCCAGCAGCCGCTGTGAGCGGTCGTCCAGAAGCCGGCGACTGATCTGCCTCGCCCAGGAAGAGCGCAAACTTGGGCCAGTGAAGCGACGTCCTCCACAACTAGACTGAAGAACAGACAGCAACTTGTCTGTTCCCCTTCCCCCAATTCCCCAGCGCTGTTCCCATCCCCCAATTCCCCAATAGCAACCTTTAAAAAAAAAAGAATTACCCAAGGTGGCTAGTATAGCACAGAATTCTTTTTGCCCAACGCAGCAGGCATAAAAATACAGATTGGACCAGTATGGTACAAAAACAAACAAACAAATAAACAAACAAACAAAAAGCCACTTTGAAATTGTGGCTCAATTCCCCTACTTAGAATCAATCTTTTGTAAGCAAAATTCTCATTTACATCAGGGACACTTTTTCCTGTGTTAGCTTAACACATAATGATCTTTTCTACTTGTATAGCATTTTTCATTATAACCTTTTCCTCTCTCCCATCTCAGGAATCCCAAGTACTTCATTGCCATTTCTCTTATGACATAGTACTTTCCGACTTGTTCACAGTTATTTATGTAAATGACAAATGTCAATCTCCATGATGGTAGGAAGATAGGATTCATGTCAGATTCACCTCTGAATATCTCAAGGCTCTTAAAACAATGCTTTGCACACAGTAAATGCACAACAAATATTTGATGAATTAATTCATGTTACCACTCTCTGAATAAGGATTGCCAGGGTGGTTTTGCTGAAAAGGGAAACTTAGACATTATTTATTTGTTTGTCTGTATGGTTATACATTTACACCCTGCCTTTTTAAGAATGTATTACTGTGATTCATTGAATCCTTGAAGAACTGGTCCAATTCTCCAGACCATGTTGGAGTTGGGATCAAAATCACAGAATTCTGACCTCAAGTCCTATAAGTTTTCTATCACTCTGTCCTATTTTGATGAAGAAAAAAGGAAAGAACACTAGGGAACCCAATGTAAGAAATGGAAACCTCCTTGGAAATTCCTAAGACATTTATTACGGAAGGAACAAGGCCCCTTGTTATTGGCAAGGGTGGGAGAGGAGGAAGTGAGGTCACTGGATGCCAACTATGCCTGTCTCCCAGTCCAGTCGTCTCCTTAGTGGAGCAAAGGGTTGACCTGCATAGTTTTCCTATTACACAATGCTGACCATCTGCTATATCTGTTGCTTTCTAGTATATTCTTCCTGTCAAACTGGAATAAACAATTCCTTTGAAAATAAGCAGCCAAGGCAATACCAAAGCAATCGCTTCAAACCCAGTGGCCAAGGCACTCAGTGACCTGTGCCAGTCCCCTTCCCCTGTGGGCTAGGTGGGGCTGGGACAGACAGGTGTGGAGGACAGAGGCTTGCCATGTCCTAGTGACTCGAGGTGACTGCAGACACTGGGTCTTTGGACAATGTGCTCCTGTGAAGGGTCCTCGAACACAGGTGGTTTCAGGGAGATGTCATGTGAAAGCTCTGCATGGACCATTTTGGGTTCAGAAAACTTGGGAAACTGGAAATGAACAGGCAGGCTAGGTGAGGGGTTCCCTACACTGAGTCCAGGGAGGTGATAATGAAGACATTTTAGCTGCACTGAAAGTTTCAAAAGTCCAAATGAAAGTGATATCTTTAAGGTGGCGGTAAAGAGCAGGGGGCTTGGTGTCAGACTGGCCTCATTTACAGTCCCGCCTCTAACTAGCTGGGAACCACGGACATGTTGCTCCACTGTCCGAACCTCAGTTTTCTCATCTGTAAATCTGGGGTAAAGATTTACTTTGTAGGACTGTTAGAAAGATTCAATAAGATAATACAAATGCAGGGCCTTTAATAAAGCTCTACTGGCTACTTAATGCACACCTTTGGGGGAGATGAAAATGTTTCAACTTATTGCACAACATTGGTTGTTTCAAGCTGATCCAAAGTTCTGAGTGAGAAATAATGGCTGAGGACGTGGGCTCTGGGTTTGAATCCTGGCTCCACCACTTAGGAAATCTGGGCTGGTCACTTAACCTTTCTGTGCCTCAATTTCCTCTTCTGTAAATTGAGGACAATAACAGTACCTACCATACCCAGTTATGATGATTGAAAGGGTTAGTATACCGGGTGTGCCAAAAAATGTGTACACATGACTGTATTCATCTTTTGTTATCGTATATATTATTACAATTTTAATACAGGTTTTTTCCTTTCTTAAAATGTGTGTACATTTTTTTGGCACCCTCTGTATATAAAGCACGCAGAAGAGTGGCACATAACAAGTTGGATATGTCAGTTATTATTTTTATTAATAAAAATAGAAAAAGTAATTAACTTTTTGCTGAATAATTATTTGTTGACAAACTCTCCAAACTTAGGATTCAAGGAGAAAAATAATAAAGAAAAATAATAACCTGGTTTAGAGGCAATAGGTTCACACTACTGGGAAAAAGAAGAAAGCGTCTCACTCATTCAATTTTTAAAGTTTTCTTGGCTCAGGGAGAAGGTATGGGGCTTTCAGCAATAACCTGCGGAAAAAGGAGATCTGGTTACAGGAGTCAGGACAAATGGATCATGGGTCTGCTTCCTCTTCCAACCCTGAACAGGCAACCCCCAATCCACGTAAGGCTTGAGTTACAAAGATCCTTCGTAAGGCACTTGGAATCTGGAACACTTTTTCTCATAGAAATCATGGTACATGCAGTTGTGCAGTGTCCAGGACAGCCCACAACACACTCATAACATTAAGTTAGTACAGGAGCACAACACAGAATGACCAGAATGACAGGGCTCTACTCCGAACTCTGCCCTAGCTGCATGGCCTGGAACAAGTCATCTTGTCAGAATCTCAGGTAAGAATGCCTGCCTGCCTGCCTCACCAGCCTCTGGTGAGGACCACGGAACATTGGATGTGAAAGGGCTGTGGGCTCCAAGAGTATTAGATGACATTGCTTTTCATCCTGAAGAAAAATGTAATAAAGATTCCTTGAAATCACTCATGCTCTAAAAATGAGCCCCAAACCCAAGTCAGCAAAGAACGTGGTTTTCACTGTGTCTTAATAACTTAACTGGGACATGTACCCACCAGAAGTGATATTTTTTAAATTACGTAAAGTACACAACATAAAATTTATACATTATATTGCCATTTTAAAATCAACGATTTAGAGGCATTAAGTACATTCAAAATGTTTTGCAACCACCACCACGATCTAGTTCCAGAACTTTTCATCACCCAAAAAAGAAACCCTGTACCCGTTAGCAGTCACCCCCAATTACCCTTTCCCACCAGTCTCTTGTAACCACGAATCTGCTCTCTCTGTGGGTTTACCTATTCTGGGTGTTTCATACAAATGGATTCATACAATATGTGCCCTTTGGTATCTGATTTCTTCCCTTTAGCATAATGTTTTCAAGGTTCATCCATGTAGCATGGACCAATTTTTTTATTCCCTTTTATGGCTGAATAAGATTCTACTGCATGGTAATACAGAATTTGTTCACCCACTTATCTGTTGATAGACACTTGGGTTGTTTCCATCTTTTAGCTATTGTATGCAGTGCTGGTATGAACATCCAGGTACAAGTTTCTGTGTGAACAGCTCTTTGGGGTACACCCAGGAGTGGGATTGGCAGGTCATATGGTAACTGTGTTTAACTTTTATGAGGAACCACAAAACTGTTCGGCTGCGCCATTTTACATTCTCCTCAGCAATCTATAAAGATCCCTGTTTCTCTGCAGCCTCACCAGTGTTTGCCATTTTCAATTTTGCTAACTATGGCCATCCTAATAGGTATAACCCAGCATCAATTTTTGGCTATCCCTAGCCAGCCAACCCAAGATTTCATTACACCATGACCGGACTCTAAGATACTAAGACGGGCTTTTGGGTGGACCTTTCTTCTCATGTGTACATGTTCCTAGCAAACTTGATTCAGCCAGTGGCTGTATGAGGGAATGTCATCTGTCCAAAAGACAAGTATCATGAAACCTGGCACTCCTCACTGAGAAGAGAACACACCAGCAGCTGTACTTGGAAAGGAACTTAAGGCAATAATAGCTGCATTTGGGAGCCCTCCAAAAAGGGGTCCTAATTGCCTTCCATTAGCTGGTCACGCCTCAGTTGCTTTTGTGAGTATATGTGGACGTAGGGAGCAGAACCTGACAGCATGTGTGTCATTTGCTCCCTCAGCTGGCCTTGTCCTGGGCTCTGAACATGAGACCCGTCTGGTGACACAGCTATTTAAAGACTACAACAAGGTGGTGCGGCCAGTGGAAGATCACCACCAGGCCGTGGAGGTCACCGTGGGCTTGCAACTGATACAGCTCATCAACGTGGTGAGATCAGAGTGCTCCAGGCTCCCCCATCGCACCCACACCCCTCACCCTGGAGCGGCCTCCCCTCAGCTACCATCTCTGCCCCCTAAAGATGGGGTCTTATCTTTTTTCAGGATGAAGTAAATCAGATCGTGACAACCAATGTTCGACTGAAACAGGTAATTCAGCTAGATAATTGCATTTAGGTCGTTTGTATTCACCCTGAAATTTAACGTTGGCCCAGAGGAAATCAATTTGGTTCACAGGGATATACACCAACATGTTGAAAGCAAATATTGCCGGGTAGTGGAGTTATGGATCACACATTTGTTGGTGTGTGTTTGTTTTTCACTTCATGTTTTTTCTGTGTGTGTTAGTTTGCTAGGGCTGCCATAACAAAGCCACAAACTGGGCGGCTCAAACAACAGAAATTGATGACCTCACAGTTGTTGAAGCCAAAAGTCCAAAATCAAGGTGTCGGCAGAATGGGTTCCCTGTGAGGGCCGTCTTCACGTTCACGTGGCATTCTTCCTGAATATGTATCTGTCTTTAAATGTCCCCTTCTTATAAGGACACCAGTCATATTGGATCAGGGCCTACCTTAACGACCTCATTTTAGCTTAATTACCTGTATAGACCCTATCTCCAAATGAGGTCACATTCTGAGGTACTGGGGGTTAGGACCCTGACATACGAATTTGAGGGAGATCATAAGTCAATCCATAACATGATTCAAATTTGCTGCATTGGGCATATCTTACTTTTACAACGTAAGAAAAAATGTAATTCTTTTTTTAAGTGATGTTGCCTGCTTGAGGAAAATGTTCATAATAGGGCCATTCTCCTTTCCTGGAGTGGGCAGTGTGGCATGATAGATCTGCCACCACCCAGTGACTGGGGGGTGCCTTTGTTTTCCCAACTGTAAAACGGGATCAATAATCACCCTACTTCCCAAGTTTGTTGTGAGGACTGAATGCTGAATATTGGTAAAATGCTTAGAACTGTGCCTGCACGTAGTCAGTACTGTATAAGTGTTTGCTTGGTATTGTTTTCTAAAGTGCAAGCTGAATTCTGAATCAAACCTTTCTTACTGGAACACAGTTTCTGTCACTCTCTGAATTACCATACCCATCAGAGTTTTTGATAACCCTAGATGGTTTTAAAAAATGTGTTTAGCTTTTTAATTAGGTAAATGTCTTCATTTCTAGCAATGGGTGGATTACAACCTAAAATGGAATCCAGAAGACTATGGTGGCGTGAAAAAAATTCACATTCCCTCTGAAAAAATCTGGCGCCCAGACCTTGTTCTCTATAACAAGTAAGCAAGCAAAACAGGATGGGGAGGGGACATTCCTGGGGCAGGTGGAGCCCAAGAGCTTTAGTGGAAGGGCCGCCCATCTCAGTATGCTTCTCACCACGGTTCACATTAAACAGCCCTTAAAAGCCAAGAGCTCAGTCGACACGCTAGGGGTGCCATATGGTGTCTCATGTTATGAATAGAAACAATCATCAGAGCCAAATTGAATCAGGGCTGTGGGGTGGGGGGCATTTAATCCCTGAGAGCTCCTGGAGGGTGTATGGCAACTGTCCAAGGAACCCAAACTTCCTATAATTGAGTTCCTTGGAATTAAATGTCCTTCCTACCAGTAGGTCTGAACCTCCCGGGGTTGTTATTCATCACATCCTCATGGCATCCCAAGACGCTGTGCTGCTGATGGCCCCGGAAGCCTATGTAGCCCATCCATGGGCTCCGTGACAGGCTGCATGTTGTGAAATTATAATGTGATTCAAGACACTCTGCTTTAATGACACGCTCATTATCATACGTCCTTCATTTATCAGGGAACGTTCATTTCAAAGTGCATCCTTCCCAGGCAGGAGGCATTTGACATTGGCCTAGAAGATTTGTGGCCTGACATCATATAGCATGTGTTTGGGGCGAGCAGCCTGTACCTGCCAGCAGACTTACCAGGGGAGGCAGCAAGCGCTAGTGAATAGAAATCATACCCCTTAAGGCTGACCCTCCCTACTTGGATTTTCTAGTACATATTTTCCAATTATACCTGGGACGCAAGACGGAGCCAAATTATCCTTTTCAGATAATCATGTTGATAGTGCAGAGTGTCTTGTGTTAGTAAAGTTTCTCTTTCACTAAGAATCTGAGGGAAGCAATTCAAATCCTCTAGTCCTTTTGACAAGCTTGTTCAGGAACATCCTGGTGGGGCGAGAACCCAGTTTTACCTGCTTACAAGGAGAGACTTAGATGATCCTATGGCCCTCTGCTCTTTGGGAAGGCCCAAAATTGCATAGTTTTCTGGATAGAGCCCCACCTTCATCCCGAGGAAAAAATCAGCGGAGAGAAAACTCTCTTGATTTTCGAAGTGAGGCACCAATGTATGCTATATGTCCCTGAAAGCCCACCGAGGCAGACCACGCCCACCTGTAGGACACCTATGCCCTGCTCTTGGCCAAGGCCTGGGACACAGCCTGTTTGCGGGACAAGTAGACTGCTGCCCACTGAATAAGGCCTGCAGAAGTGGCCTTTAGTTATTTTTTAATATCTACTAGGTTGAACTTTTGAAACAAGATATTACTGCCAATATTTGAAAATTTGAAGACATCACATTAAAATCTGGATATGTACCCTCTCTAGAAAAATCCAATATTCAAAAATATAGAAATTTGGGATTAAAAAAAAAATCTAGATTTCCAGCTTCCAAGGAAAACCCCCAAATATCTGGTAACATTGGGCCTTTGTTCCCACCAGGACACCATGGGCAGAGCTGGGTAGAGCTTTCCTTAGAGGAGAGAGGGGCTTTCTCTTCACCACAGCCTCACTCCTCGCTCCTTCTGTGCCTACCTGGCCCTGGAGGCATCTGAATTTGTGACCCCATCCCACTGAGTTCTAAATAGTTCCTTAAAAGGTAATAGACCCCTTCCTTAACCTGTTGGTCACAGTAATGAGCCACTGAACGAGTTTTTATTTAAAATTCCCTTTTTTTTCCCCCCACTTTACTTTCAAAGTATATCAGGGAAGGGATAGATGGAGACTGACATTACAAATACCTTCTAAAAACTGGGGAAGAAAAAAATTTGAGATGCAGTGGCTTCGTGTTACCTGTTATTTCTTTAAAACTGTAGATTCCCAGGTTCTTCCCCAGGTAATTTGATTCAACACTTAGATAATGCTCAGGAATATATATATATTTTAATAGGCACCCCAGTGATTCTTATTATCAGATAAATTTGGGAAATATTGACATAGATAAGAAGCAACACTGCCGGGCTGAAAGCTTCTATAATTAGCACCTGAATAATTAACAGCTGTCTCCTGTTTTATCCCACTGTAGCGCAGATGGTGACTTTGCGATTGTCAAGTTCACAAAAGTGCTCCTGGACTACACTGGCCACATCACGTGGACACCTCCAGCCATCTTTAAAAGCTACTGTGAGATCATCGTCACCCACTTTCCCTTTGATGAACAGAACTGTAGCATGAAGTTGGGCACCTGGACCTATGATGGCTCTGTTGTGGCCATCTACCCGGTAGGTAGTGTCCTAATGTGATGAGGTTGGATTCAGGAAAAGCGTGCTTCAGCTCTCCAACTCTGCCCCTTCATAATCATAGGCTCTCAGCACCAGCAACTCTGGGGATCATCTAGTTTGATGGTTCTCAATTGATTGGTAAGGTTCTTGATGTGCTGCTCATGAGAACCACTTGGGAGCTTAAATGAATTCCCTATTCTCAGGCTCAGTACCAAGAATTCAGATTTAATCAGTATAGGGTGGGGGCTAAGGCACCAATATGTTTTAAAGCTCCCAGGTGACTTGAATGTGTAGCCAACATGGAGAATCCCAATAGTCCAAACCCCTTTATTTTAGGAAAGGAACCTAAGACCCAAAAGTCAAAGTGACCCAGCGTCCCACCTGGGTATGTAATGGTACTGGAATCGGTTGCCTTGTCATAGTTGATTTTGAAACCCTGCTCTTCCTTGGGGTGACATGATTAGGTTTACAAAGTTTTGTTTCATCTTCTCAGGAAAGCGACCAGCCAGACCTGAGCAACTTCATGGAGAGTGGGGAATGGGTGATCAAGGAGGCCCGGGGCTGGAAGCACTGGGTGTTCTATGCCTGCTGCCCTTCCACCCCCTACCTGGACATCACCTACCACTTTGTCATGCAGCGCCTGCCCCTCTACTTCATCGTCAATGTCATCATTCCCTGTCTACTCTTCTCCTTCTTAACTGGCCTGGTGTTCTACCTGCCCACAGACTCAGGTGCGTGCAGTTGCAACGGCTGCTGCTGCTGATACTGATAGATCGCATGCTGCTGTTTTGGGAGAAGCCACAGATAATCATGGGCTAATAAACAAATACAGGCAGACAGACCCAAACCATCATGGCTGGGAGGATGCATTTACTGAGTGGCCATGTGCAGTGGTGAAAGTCACTGTGGATGGAGCTCCCAGCTGGAGTAGACTATGGAGCAGGCAAAGAGCTGAACGTGACCTGAAGATGCATAGACATAGCTCAGTCTAGTTAAAGTGAATAACCACCAATACCTATTTGTTGACTAACTGCTGTGTGCCCAGAAGTATTCTAGGTGAGGCGTGGATCACAGACACTCCTCATGCCGCTCCCTCTACGCAGCCACTTGCTCTGTTCTACCTGAGGTCTTGCCTCTTTTGCTAACAGCCACTTGAAAATAGCTTTTGCCTGTCTGTTTTCCAGATGGCAGCATCTTTTAGACAAGATTATACTTCCCAAGTAGCAATTCTTTCTCACGTATCAGCCCAAACAATTTACCTCCTACTGAGTAATCACAGCTGTGACATAATTTCACCAAAAAACAACAATCTACAGAAAGGAGGAGAAGGGTACATATACAGAAGGGGCCAAAAACATGTACACACATTTTAAGAAAGGAAAAAAACTGTATTAAAATTGTAATACTCAATATATACCAATAACAAAAGGTGAATACAAGTCATGTGTATACATTTTTTTGGTACCCCTGGTATATATGCCTGTCAGCAAGTCACTATTTATAAACAATTTATGGCAGACAAGTAGGGTAAAAAGAAAGATGGTACGGACAGTCCTCATCTTATGATAGGAACAAATTTTTTTTTAAAGATTTATTGGGGAATTGGGGAAGGGGAACAGCCAAGTTGTTGTCCTTCAATCTTAATTGTGGAAGGCGCAGCTAGCTCAGCTCCAAGTCCAGCCGCATACAGGCATAGGCAGCTTGCAGCGGCTCAGCTCAAGGTGCCGTGTTCAATCTTAGTTGCGGGTGGGCATAGCCCACCATCCCATGCGGGAGTCAAACCAGCAACCTTGTTGTTAGGAGCACGTGCTCTCACCAGCTGAGCCATCCTGCCACCTGTTGGCAGCTCAGCGGCAGCTCAGCTCAGGTGCAGCTCACTGGGCTGCCAATCCATCTGCTGAGCAAGAAGTAGGTCAGGCTACCATTCAGTCCTGTGAGGTTAATGACATTCTTCTGCAGACGGAAAAACTGTCGCTCAGGGTCTGACTTGCCACCTAGCTCAGTAGAACCTGGCTCCCTGGGCTCCACCAAGAAACGGAATTCGGGGGCATGAGATAAAGTAGCCACTCCCTGCTTGGCAGCCTCTGATGGAAATGCCTGCCACTTGCCATTGTCAGCAGAGTTAAGGTGCCAAGGTCTCACAGGAAATTCTGCCCCCCAAATTTCCTCAGAATGATGCTTTGAGAAATGCCTGTCACGTTTTCCTCACCCTTGGGTTTTGGTCGTGTCTTAGTTCTGCAAAGGCTGCCATAACAAAATACACAGACTAGCTAGCTTAAAAAACAGAAATTACCATCTCCCAGTTCTGGAAGCTGGAAGTTCTAGATCAAGATATTGGCAGACTTTGTTTTCTCTGAGGCCTCTCTCCTGGGCTTACAGATGACGGTCTTCTTCCTGTGTCCTCACAGGGTCTTTCCTCTCTGTGTGTATCTGTGTCCTAATCTCCTCTTCTTATAAGGACACCAGTCATATTGGATGAGGGACCACTCAAAGACCTCATTTTATTTTAATTACCTCTTTAAAGGCCCTATCTCCAAATACAGTCACTGATGTGCTAGGGCTTAGGACTTCAGCGTACAAATGTGGGGGGGGAGTAACATTTCAGCCTATCATAGGTAGGTTGGACGTCTTCTTCATTTTGTCCAGGAGAGAAGATGACTCTGAGCATCTCTGTCCTGTTGTCCTTAACTGTGTTCCTCCTGGTCATCGTGGAGCTGATCCCTTCCACCTCAAGTGCTGTGCCCTTGATTGGGAAGTACATGCTGTTCACCATGGTGTTTGTCATCGCATCCATCATCATCACTGTCATCGTCATCAACACGCACCACCGCTCCCCCAGCACCCACGTCATGCCAGAGTGGGTGCGGAAGGTGAGTGAGGGAGGCCCCTGCAAACTGCCCAGGGCAGCCATTTTCTTGAGGACCTCTATCGGTCGCCTCTATGTGTGGCCAGTGGAATCCTAGCTAACTCTTGTGGGTACTTATAACTGAAAGTCCTGTCTGGGCTGTAAGGGGTTTGGGGAAGGGACTTCCTTGGGCCTCTTTCTCAGGATAAATAACTCATGTAGCCTCCTCAGAGAGAGAAGAAAAACAGAATTAACAAGGCTCACTCTTAATTTAAGCTTAAAGAATCCCTTTGATTAGAGAAGATAAATAAATCACTGTCTTTTTATTCAAATGCTGTGAAATCTTGAGATTTCTGTTTATATGTCTTCCAGTTTGTGAACAGGTTGCTTATTTTTTGCTGGTAGAATCACCTGCTGAGAGTAAGGGCTGGAGGTGAAGGGGGGGCTTGATAAGAGATTGTCCAAAAGTAAGCTTTAGTGAGGAAGCTGGTCTCAAATATTGACATTATTGAAAGTTAAAATGAGTTAACGTTTTAAATGTGTCAGTTTTTTGATAGAACTTCACAGAGACACTCACAGCCAGGGTCTTGTGTGCAAAACGCAAAAGATTTGTCATGAATTCACAGAGAAACTACTGTTTGTATTCTTTTTAGAGGAGAAACTGTCCCTGTTTTTGTCAAGACTGTTACGTGATTCCTGGCAATACCTATGTTGCATTTCTTCAGAAAGAAGAAATGAAAGAAAATAGTCTAGCTGTTTTGTGGGGGCAGACCTTATATATTTTAGCCCAAAGGGCCCTTTCTTTAACCTTATGACCTTGAGAACACGTGGCCTTGAAGGAAGCTGGTACTCACAGCGAATTAGAAGCTTAAGCTTCGTGGGTTTCTTGAGTTCTGTAGCTGCGCACAGGCTCCCTCCAGTGGCGAACTCCTCACATGACAGGCCACAGGGTATGTATGGAGGAATCTTTGGGAAAACCTAGTCTAGTTCTTTTATTTTAAGGACAAGGAGGCTGAGGCCCAGAGGCGCTGAATGACTTGCCAAAAGTCACACTGCTGATTCTAACTCAGAGTTGGATGCTTGCCCTGCTGGCTTTTCTTCTCATAAGTGGATTTCTTTTTATGTTAGGTTTTTATCGAAACTATCCCAAATATCATGTTCTTCTCTACAATGAAGAGACCATCCAGAGAAAAACAAGACAAAAAGATTTTTACAGAAGACATTGATATTTCTGACATTTCTGGGAAGCCGGGGCCTCCACCCACAGGCTTCCACTCTCCCTTGATCAAACACCCCGAGGTGAAGAGTGCCATCGAGGGCGTCAAATACATCGCAGAGACCATGAAGTCAGACCAGGAGTCCAATAATGTAAGCTTTGTGACTTAAAACCCACACCTTCAGGTTTACATAATCAAATGCTCGCGTGCAGAAGGAAGGATTTGGCTCGATGGGTAGGTTGGCATTAAGAGGTAGCTACTGACCTAAGATGTGTCTTGGTGACTGCCTCTAGGCCACCTGAGTAAGACATCACAGTGTGAATAATCTAGTCAAAAACTAAAGATTATGATGCCAACCGAGAGACGTGGAGGTCTTCAAGATGTACAAACCGAATGGGCCATAGACGATGCATAGCAGGAGCATGTGAGTCCAATGGCCGCCTTAAGGCAACCCTAACGCTGTGCTCTCTCCCAGGCGGCAGAGGAATGGAAGTATGTTGCAATGGTGATGGACCACATTCTCCTTGGAGTCTTCATGCTGGTCTGCCTCATCGGCACCCTGGCTGTGTTTGCAGGTCGGCTCATTGAATTACATCAGCAAGGATGATCAGAAGGCAGAACTGACCCCGGGCCTGCCCCAGCCCCAGGCAGAGCAGAGAAAGGTGGGAAGGCAGGGAAGATTTGTCCACATGGACACCAGCTCGCGTAACAAACACTTAATTTTCTGTATTTATGATGAATGGTAATAATTTGCATGTACATCAGGTTGTGGCCTCAAAGTGTTTTCACAGTGCTGCTCCCTTGGATCCCGCTTTGGCTGGAGAGTGAGCCCTTTTCAGTAAATGAAATCAGGTCTCTACAAGAAGCATTCGTTTCCATTGCTGTCTGGAAGAGTTTTGCCCAGAATAGCTGAGGTTTTCTGCTGGTTTGTTTATTTTTATTTTTTAAGCAAAGAATGTGTCCTTTGCTTAAAAGCCAGCTTGGTACCTACTAGGAAAGCTTCACCTACCGGTACCCAAACGTTAAAACATTTGATTCAGAGAGAAAAACAGCAGTAGAAAAGCAACAGGTAAGTTCCAAAATGGCCATCAAAGTGCAAACTGCATCAAAAAAGCCCATGCTTTAAGGCCGACTCCTAGAACTGGGAGGTGAGGGAAGGGTGTCCCAGTCTAACACAACACCTAAGTTTGATGCTCAAGGTGTGAGGGAAAGCAGGTCCTAACCTATATTGAGTGGAAGGGCCAGGCATTGTGGGAATCATCTCAGACACATGATGTATTTCATTGTCGTAACTCTCATAATGTCCCTGTTTTACAAATAACAAAACTGAACTTGAAGGAGGTTAAGTTCATTGCCCAAACTAGCAAATAGAAGAATGAGATTTGAACCCAGACCAAATCGGGCTTCAAAGCAGCTGCAGGTTGGGTCTGTTCATCTGCTCACTTGCTCTCCTGGCCACCCTGTCTTGAACTAGGCCATTCCATAAAGCTGGTCAGTGTTTCTGAGAGCTTCAGTCTTAGTGTCAACCATCTTTCTGCCTTCCCAATTAAACCCCTGCCTCCCATCCCCCGCCCCCCAGTTCTTATCCCAATAGAGAGAAAACTATTTGTCTCCACTGCAACCTTCCAGCCACAGTGTAATTCACCCAGAACTAAAAACCATGCAGCCCTGGGCTCAGATCACCAGAACACATCTGACCCACATCAGTGTCAGGGGAGAGTGGGAATTGCACTGCTGGGCAGCCTGTAATCTCCATCACCCAGGTAGCCTCAATCTACTTCTCCATGGGGGTCCCTATCACACACACCCATGGCAGGACCAAGTGCCTTTGCGTTAGGGTAAACTAAAGTGAAAACAGTTTGATGGTTCCTCAAAAAACTAAACACAGATTTATCATGTGATTCAGCAATTCTACTCTTAGGTATATCCCAAAAGAACTGGAAGTGAGGATTTGCACAGATGCTTGTATACTAGTGTTCACTGAAGCATTATTCACAATAGCCCAAAGGTGGAAACAACCCAAATGTCCATCAGTGAATAAGCAAAATGTGGTTTATACATACAGTGGAATATTATTCAGCCTTAAAGAGGAATGAAATTCTGATATGTGCTATACTATAGATCAACCTTGAAAACATGCTAAGTCAAATAAGCCAGACGCAAAAGGACAAATATTGTATGATTCCACTCATATGAGGTACCTAGAATAGACAAATTAATTGAGACAGAAAGTAGAATAGTGGTTACCAGTGTTTAGGGGAAGGGGCGAGTTATTGCTTAATGGGTAGCGTTTCAGTTTGGAAAAATAGAAAGGTTCTGGAAATGGATGGTGGTGATGGTTGCATGATACTGTGAATGAACTTAATGCCATTAAGTTGTACACTTAAAAATGGCTAACAAGGTAAATTTTATGTTACGTATATTTTACCACAATTAAAAAAATGAAAACAATGACAATATGATGTTTCATGTTATATATACTTTACCACAATTAGAAGGAATAAAAAAGAATTTGGAACTTGTCTAATACATCATACCTCCCAGGAACGACTATTGATTCAGAGAAGGATCTTAAAAATCATTTCTATTCTCCTCATTTTAAGGATAAGGAAACTAGGGCTCAGAGACGTGACCTCCCTCAGGTCACAGAGCTAGTTAGTGACAAACCAGGTTTCCTAACATCTGCTTTTGTGCTATTTCCACTACATCAAATAACCCATCTTTCCCCCAAAGCAAGGCCCTCTGACATGTCCCCCACTCCTTCCCTGGTCCTGGAAGCCAGCAGCGTGGCCTGAGAGGATACCACAGTGTCACAGTGTGTGGCTCCATCAGCCCCTCAATATCTGTTCCATCAATCTGTCACCAAGTAAAAGATTGTCATCTTTGGAATCTCTTCCCTTACTCAAGGCCTCATCCCAGAAGCCCACCTAAATGTCTATCGATGGATGAATGGATAAACAAAATATGATCTATACATACAATGTTCAGCCTTAAGAAGGAATGAACTTCTGACACATGCTACAACACAGATGAAACTTGAAAACATGATGCTAAGTGACATAAGCCTGATTGTGAAAGGACAAATACTGTATGATTCCACTTATATGAGATTCTTAGAGTAGTCAAATTCATAGAGACAGAAAGTCAAATAGCAGTTACTAGGGGTTGGGGGAGGGGTGAGTTATTGCTTAATGAATACAGAGGTTTTGATTGGCATGATGAAAAAGTCCTGGAAATAGAGAATGGTGATGGTTGCACAGCCTTGTAAATGTGCTTAATGCCTCTGAATTGTATACCAAAAGACAGTTAAGGTGATAAATTTTGTGTTATGTATATTTTATCACAATAAAAAGTGTTGTTTGTTTTAAAAAATCACGAACTGCTCCTTTCTTATCCTTGAAAATGGTCCCTGGGTGAGGATTGGGTGAAAATGGGGCACTGATAGAAAAAATAGTTTCCTCTTGGAGGAATATACGTATCCTTCTCTCTACAAACATCCTTAAAGGACGTAGCTCCCTCCTAGAACCAAGCCCCAGCACATTTTCCCTCAGAAAGTCAGCTTGGAAGAACAGAGCAGGGAAATTGTCCCACCTCAAATTTAACCCACTTTTGGGCAAGTGGCCCGCCCACCACCCAGGGGACCTAAGGGAGGGGAGAGCAGTGAACAGAATGAGGGCCTTCCTGTCTCTTCCCAGCCCTTGGGGCATCTCTTCCTCCAAAATTTCTTCCCTTTCTATCAGTTAGTGAAGGTTCTGCTAAGGTGCTTTGTAAGAGGACATTTTTTTGGCCAGAAAAATAAACCTATTGAACAATATTTTCTGAACACCAACCCAACCTAATGTTTCTAAGCTTATGTTTACGTTCTCCTTTCTAGAGCCTTTTGCTATATCCCACTTATCACTTTATAGTATTTTCTTGTGTACCTGTTTGATTTCAACTTCTAACTTAGAACCCTTCCCAAAGGAAAAAAATTATATTTATGTTTATATTCTCAGGTAGTAGGTATGCTGCGTCCCGCACAGCAAGGGCAATGGAGAGTGAGGGGGGGCCGCGCAGGGTTAAAGAAACACAAGAGTCAATTATCGAGTTAAAGGGAGGCCAAGGGGGCTGCAGTCTCTCTCTGGAACTGAGCCCCAAATAGGGCCAACTTGTAGCTTTTATTAAGAAACTTCAAAGAAATGAAACTTGTTTTTTCTAAAGTCCGTGTCATAAGTGCCTTATGGCTAATTTCCATCAACCAGCCCCACTGTATTCCAGCACCTGCTGTGCCTTTATACTCCCACACACACAACCCCCAGGATGGTGCAGCTGAGCCGCGGCCATGACAATAAGGGAGATAACCGACCTCATTCAGTCGGGTCTCAGCGTTCGGAGACACTCGCTTGAGGAAGATTTACCGATATCATTCCGCCGGGTCTCAGCATTCCAAGACATTTCCTCGTGACCTCATTAGGTCAGGGGTTGGTGTGTGTGTCAGGGGTGGGGTGGGGGGGTCGAGGATGAAGCTGTAAGGCAACAGTAGGTAGATGCTCAAAACATGTGTTGCATAAACTAAGAGATAAGTGAATGATTAAGCAACCTAAATTATCGTTAGATTCCCCTCGTTCTTTAATCAATACCCTACCTTGGTATAATTGGTCAAAACAAATGCCTATGGCTTCAGCCATGTCAATATACATTTCTTATACTTCTGTGTTTGTTCATATGACCACCATAGGCTTTACAACCTGAGAAAATGCATACTTCTAGGAAAAGCGGGTCTGTGAGCACTTCCACATCTCTAAAGACAGCTTCTCCCACTGCAACTGACCTGCGTCTCTAAAACTTTATTTATCTTGATGCCTTTGCCTCCAGGAAACCTCCCCCGCCATTGGCTGTGCTATGAGCCTGTGCTCATTTTGGTTTTCCTTATCATATATAATTGGCCTGATGAGTTCCTGTGATATCTGCTTCACTAATTACTTTATGGATGTCAATCTTCTGTCTTCAACAAGACTGTCCCTATCTGAAGAAGGAAGTTGGGTCTTGCTACCCATACTTCCTGGGGAACCTTGGGAAAGGTCCTTAACCCATCTGAGTCTCAGCGTAAAAGATGTGGCTAGTGGGGCCGGCTGAGTGGCTCAGTTGGTTAAGAGCGCGAGCTCTGAGCAACACGGTCGCCGGTTCGATTCCCACATGGACCAATGAACTGCGCCTGAGATGAGCTGCCAGTAGGTGGCAGGATGTCTCAGCTGGTGAGAGCACGTGCTCCTAACAACAAGGTTCCAATTAGACTCCCGCATGGGGTGGTGGGCTATGCCAACCTACAACTAAGACTGAACATGGCACCTTGAGCTGAGTGGCTGTGAGCTGCCGATGGGCAGCAGGATGGTGGCTGGTCTTGGAGCTGAGCTAGCTGCGCCCTTCACAACTAAAACTGAAGGACAACTTGGCTGTTCTCTTTCCCCAATTCCCCAACACTGTTCCCCTTCCCCAATTCCCCAATAAAATCTTAAAAAAAAAATGTGGATAGTCCACTTTCGAGGACACCTGGAAAGTGGCTGACACTCTGCAGGTGCTCCTTAAATATAACACTCCAGGGCAAAGATGATACCCTAAACCACTGTATATCCTTCACCAAACCCAGGAGAGAGTTGAGCACCTGTTATGTGTTCACAAATATTTGTTGAGTTGAATTTTTCTCCATGCATTTTTTAATTGAGATATTCACATACCATGAAATTCACCATTTGAAAGTGTACAATTCACTGGTTTTTAGTATATTCATAAGGCCATGTAAACATCACTATATAATTCCAGAACATTCATCAACCCATCTCCATTACATTTCTTTAAAGCTTTATTTAGTTTTTAATGAATCAAAGTACATTTTGACTACATCTCACTAAATATAATTATTCTACTTTATAATCACTAATAGCATTTACGATATGTCAGACACTGCTTGGAGTACTTTATAAATAACAAATCCAACATGGTAAGTTGCAGCAGCAGCAGCAGCAGCAGCAATATCCTCTATTACTGATGAAGAAACCAAGTCATGGAAAGGACAGGAATCTTACCCAAGACCACATAGCTAGAAGTGGCAGAGCTGGGATTTGAACCCAAGACGCCCTGAGTCCACGTTCCTCACCACTCCAGCTACCTCTTGACCAGAGCATTAAGATTAACCAACCAACCAAACACAAGCAAACACATAACCTTTCAGCATTAAGAGCCTGTTTTCCTCCTCCCTTGTTTATCAGTCACCCTCGACTGTGAATTTTTCTTAAACACAAATGAATTGTCCACTGCTGGCCCTGGGCTGGGCTCTGTGGGATGACACGAAAATCAAGAAGGCCTTGTCTTCATCCTCCAAAAGTGAATAGTGTGAAACTAGTACAGGTAGAAGGCAACACACAAACACGGGCATACAGACATGGGAGAGTCTGGCCAGTGGTGATGGCAGAAAGCTGGTACTTACCATTACAAAAAGAATCACAAAGGGCCAGCCGAGTGACTCAGTTGGTTAAGAGTGCGAGCTCTGAGCAACAGAGTCAAGGGTTCGATTCCCACATGGGCCAGTGAGCTGAGCCCAAGCTGAGCTGCCAACAGGTGATAGATGGCTCAGCTGGTGAGAGGACTCCCATACAGGATGGTGTGCTACCCACATCCGCAACTAACAGCACCTTGAGCTGAGCTGCTCATGAACTGCTCATGAACTGCTGACGACAGAACGGCCGGATAGCGACTGGACTTGGAGCTGAGCTAGCTGCGCCCTCCACAACTAAGATTGAAGGACAACAACTTGGCTGTTCCCATTCCCCAATTCCCCAATAAAATCTTTAAAAAGAAGAATCACAGATAATGACATAGTTCTGGGAAAACCAAAGGGATTATTTTCTCTCTTGAAGATGAAATTCAGATTTCTTAGCAGAAGTTGAGTTTGGTTATGAATTGGGCAAATGTTCTTTCACTTTGAGTTATTTTATTCTCAGAGCTGAAAACACATTGACCTCTGTTTACCTTAAACTGCTTCCCACATTTAAATTATCTATATACTGTCATTTATAGGGGGCTGCTTTTAGGTGATAACACTACACACTTTATTGGATGGAAATGGGGTCTCTGAAAAATAGTGTGTGGATTTGATTTTGATAATTCAATATTTTTTGTGTTTTGTTTTGTTTTTTTAATGTAAAATACTAGGGACCTTGCTACAAGGAAAAATCTGTAGAGGATCTTTTAGTAACGCAAGAAATCCTTTAAAACCATATACTTACTTGCTAATTCCCATCCTAAGTTCTGTGTTCTTATTTAAGACACATCTGAATTTTGGCTACTTCATAGTCTATTCTTTGTAAAATATTGCTTATCCTAAGTTTGGAGGCCTGGACTAGGTCAACATTTCTAGACTTCGACCTTCATGAAACGTCAGGCACTTAGAAGAGGCTGTTATCTCGGATTTGTTGCCCATATATGAGGGCCTGAGAACTTCCATCACTGGGAAACCCTGGATTTATTTAGAGTTCTGAAGTACCCTTCTGCCTGGTCTAGAGTATCTGTTCATAAAACATTTTAAATGTTACCTTTTTATTCCCTACTAATCACGTAACTTAGGAGAAATTCCTTTTAGAAAATAATGCACCACCGATAATAATTTTATTGTATTGTGATATGGTATTTTTGGTTGGTGGGTTATTGTGGGGGAGGGTGGTTAAAAGGCACAATGTACTGGTACTACCCTGTGTTATGGGAAGAAATAGACAAATCTAAAGAAATACTATTACTTTGGTTAAATAAACTAGGCAGCAGCTCCCTCTTGTGCTGAAACGTAAGTACTGCAACCATGAATTGAAAGGGGGAAACATCCCTAATACACAGAAAACTTGCTTGAACTAAGAGCCTTTCCCAAATGCTTTAAGTCTAAGAAAAGCATAGTGCTTAGTAACTTTTTATTTTAACTGGCACATCCTCTGCCATTAGTATTTACTTAATTAATTATTTAAACACTCATCGAGCACTTACTGGGTGCCAGTTACTAGGGATACCAGGGTGATTACACAGTTGCTGCTCCCCAGTTGCTCACATGG